ATTTTTGCTTTTGTTACCTTTACTTTTGGGTCAGATCCAAAAAAATTATCACCAAGACCAATGTCAAGGAGCTTACCACCAATGCTTTCTTCTAGGAGTCTACGGTTTCAGGTCTTATGTTCAAGTCTTTAATCCATTTTGAGTTAATTTTTGTGTATGGCGTAAGATAGTCGTTCAGTTTCATTCTTTTGCATGTGGCTGTCCAGTTTTCCTGACACTATTTATTGAAGAGACTGTCCTTTCCCCATTGTATATTCTTGACTCCTTTGTCATAAATTAATTGACTGTATATCCATGGGTTCACTTCAGGCTCTCTATCCTGTTCCATTGATCTATGTGTCTGTTTTTTTATGCCAATACCATGCTGTTTTGATTGCTATGACTTCGCAATATAGTTTGAAATCGGGGAATGTGATGCCTCCAGCTTTCTTCTTTCTCAAGATTGCTTTTAGCTATTCAGAGTCTGTTGTAGTTCCATACAAATTTTAGGATTGTTTGCTCTATTCTGTGAAAAATGCCATTAGAATTTTGATTGGGATTGCATTGAATCTGTAGATTGCTTTGGGTGGTATGAACATTTTAACAATATTCTTCTAATCTATAAGCTTGGAATATCTTTCCATTTATTTGTGTCTTCTTTAATTTCTTTAATCAATGTCTTATAGGTTTTGGTGTACAGGTCTTTCACTTCCTTGGTTACATTTATTCCTAGTTACTTTATTCTTTTTGATACAATTGTAAATGGGGTTGTTTTCTTAATTTCTCTTTTTGATAGTTTGCTGTTTGTGTATAGAAACGCAACTTATTTTTTTTTTCCTGAGGAAGATTCGTCCTGAGCTAACATAGAAACACAACAGACTTTTGTGTGTTAATTTTGTATCCTGCAACTTTAATGAATTCCTTGGTTAGTTGTAACAGTTTTTTGGTGGAGTCTTTAGGGTTTTCTATGTCTAATATCATGTCATCTGCAGATAGTGACAGTTTACTTCCTCCTTTCCCATTTGAATGCCTTTTATTTCTTCTTCTTGCCAAACTGCTCCTGGGCTGGTCTTCTTGAGACAATGATCAGCAAAGGTCTGTAGAAGCTGCTGCATCCTTCAAACGGTACAGGGCTGCTCACCACGATCCCCACTGGCCTGCCCTCCCTCATTTCCTCACCTGACTAGCACATGAGTCTGCAAGCTGTGGTTTAAAGTAGGATCAGACTGGGCAATTAATGACCTCAGTGTGAGGAGCAGACTCTACGTTTACCTAGTTCAGAAGTGAACTGAGAGAGAAAGATTGTGAGGGGAGTTAGATCAAAGGGGGGTTGTGTCGTTAGCCAGACTGTTACGGTGAGGGTATTGTGGTTCGCTTTCCTGTGGACTTTTATTCTTCTATCATAAGTGAGTAAGTTCACCATCAGAAGGGAGTCCTCCCCTGCAAACCGGCTTGTGGTTCCTGGTTGGCTGAACTCAGCCGAGGACACCCCGTCAGAGCCTCTGTGAATTATGCCCAGGGTCCCTCCTGCTTCAGCTCAACTCCCGTTTGTAGTAGTGAACTCACGGACTCAGGAATTTTTGCAAGAAAGGGTTTCATTTTCTTTTCTTGCTCCATCCCCTCTTTGTAAAAAAGACAAAAAGTCCATGGCACACCCTGTGTCAGCTTTCTTATATTAAGAATAATTTGCCTCTGCAAACTTTGATATGGGAGCTCAGAATCCCAACTCCATTATTACAAAAAAACCTGATTTTCAAAGTTGCTTTGTTGAACAGACAACATATCCAAAGTGCATGGTTTGGTTGGAAAGTGGTTTTCCATGTTCCTTGTGCTCATCCTTCAAGTTCATGGCCATCGCCTATCACCACCTGAGAGTACTTAGTGCTCAGGATAACTAAAAGAATAAATCCTGCTTGCTTTGAACACAACCCAGGGTTCACCGTATGTTCCTGTACTGGCCAATGCTAATCAGCTCTTCCCTTCTCCTCTTCTCTTTTCTGCTTGTAAATCAAGAGGCCCCAGCATTAGTCACCACAAAAGAGATAATTAGTAAGTACAAGCTGCTACCTTCATAGATCACTCTGTGCCTCAGTTCAAGCTAAGCCAGGAAGCTAGAGCAAGCAACATTACACAAGTATGGGTCTCTGTAGCAGAACCTTTTTTACACAAGGCTCATGAGTCTGAACATGTAAATCTAGATTCTGTACCCTCCCCAGCTGTTGTAAGGATAGCTATGATGTGAGGCCAAAGGGAAGGCTGCTTACTCATTTTATAAGATTTTCCTTTCCTGGACTCAAATGTGTCTTTGGAACCCCAAGGATTTGAAACAGCAATGGTTTCTTAATGGTCTAGTCTTGGGATTCAGATATTTTTAAATACCTCAACCCTCTTCACGGATGTGGCAGCAGAATAAGATGCCACCTTTTCCCACTGGGGTATGCTATATGTGCCCCTAGAAAGTCATGGCTTGTGTCTTTGCCAGCCATTTGTCCAATTGGAAAATTCATTTCCTGCTCTGGCAGGGTACATAGTCAAGGGCAATGCTGCCCCAAGAAAAGAAAGACTGTTTCCAGTCCAAACAAATAGTCTAGGAACTTCCTTCCCATGCATTGCTAACAAAATATTGCTGGCTTGCATGGAAGTGTTCCACTCGTGTATTTATGACTTTGGAGCTGCTCAAATGCACCCTGGCTTTTATTTTTTCCATCACACAGTGTTTCTTCCAATTTTTCAGTTTCCCATATCAACCATTTTGCTATTTTTAAGCAGAGCAATTCCAAGCCAAAGCAGCTAATCAGAACAGTAAAACCTCACCAATTCAGGCAGGGAGCTTGAACTCTTTCAGTGAGGGAAAGACCAGCATGAGAAGCTGGAGGCCTGTTTCAGCTTCCATAAGATGTAGGGCTGTATAATCAAAGTCCTTTTCTACTGATATTAAAACCACATTTCATCATATCTAAGATGCTGTTGATTATAATAAACATCATATTTTATGCACCAACAAGAAAAGAATTTTAAAAACTGCCACTTGTTAAATTATCCCAAAACACCTTTAAAGATATCCCTGTGATGCCTGGATTGGTCACATCAGACTCTTGTGGCTTTGAAATCCATTCAGATAAGTTTAGTGACCTCTCCTGCCCTCTAGTTGTGTTGTTTGGCATAAAATAGGCCAATCCTTTTGAATGATCTCACAAAATGTACCACTTATCATCTCCTTGAGGGTGTCTTTCTTTCCAAGCAAATAAAGCATTTGCTTGTCTCTTTGCAAGAAAATATGGAATTACCATTCTCATTCTAACGAGATTTGCTTCATCGATATGAAATTTACACACGACTGCTCTGTTTTCGAGACTTTCTTATGTGTACAGTAACTTTTCATGTCAACACGAAATCATAATATAATCTTTTTTAAGACGCTTAATGGCAATTAAACTCAATGGCGTAGAACCAAGAGTGGACACAAATCAATGGAAGTGACAAGATGGACACCTGTGACCATGTTTGCCCTGCTCAGACAATATGGCATCTGCATCATGACTGCAGCTTGGCAACAGAAGCTGTATAACCCCATGAGTCACCCATGCATCCCAATCTTGGAGATGTCAGTGTGTGAAAAATGAGCATCTTAGAATGGATTAGTTATGGAAGTAGCTGCAATCTATTGAGAACTTAATATGTATCTGGCAAGGTACTAAACTCTTGACAAGACTTAATGTCAGCCAGGCCTCACAGCAACCCAAGATGTATGGGCAGATTAGGAAGTTGAACCAGGTTAGCAAAATTGTCCCAGATCACACAGCTAGGTGAATTTCAGAGCAAGGATCCTGATCTGGACAATAGCTTTGCTATCTCCAGCTCTGTGGTTCTACAGGCTATACAAACTGTGTGTGCCCATCAACTGCAGGCTGCCATTTGATTCCATTTATTTTCAAGAACATAAAGCATCACTCCAAATAGGCTCTCAAAAGGGTCTTTAAAATAGCTCAACCATGTAAGGTTTTCTGTAATGAATGGATAAAAATAAGTTATAATAGCACATGCATTATATGCAAATGGCCGCTTCTTAAAGGGGCTCACCCATATGATAGCTGCCTTCACGATGACTGTGGAAGCTGGTATGGCTATCTGCAGCCACTTCCTCACCACGGTGCAATGAGAGAGTTAAATTTTTCTAACTAAAACCCTACTGAAGAGCTGAAACGTCTTGCCCAATGGCACATGGAAGTGCATTCATAGCAAAATATGGACCTAGATGAGCTCGAACCTTGGTCTCCTGGCCCTTGGGTTTGTTCTTTAACACAGATGATGAATAGATACAGACAGTTACTGGGTTTTGGGTTTTTTGTTTTGTTTAAGACCATGAATCTTGTTTTACTCCCCCAATGTTAGAAGATGCTACAATGGATAAAATTTTTCAGTCCACAGGAGCCCCCAAACCCTAGTCCTGGCCACTCTGAAACCAGCCCAGTGGTAGAGAACGGAAGCCAGCAAGCCTGCCTCTAAAGAGTAGCAATGCTAAGTCAACTCCTGTGGCTTTGTGGTGATGGTGATTCTGTTTCCATGGACAGTTAAATATGGAATCTGGGAGGAGCTTTGTATTTATATTCAGTGCTTTGGGAACTTAACCCAAAGGAAAGAACTGAGAGTGTGGCTAAGGGCTTTTGTGGTCAAAATAAACACCAGCAAGAAGGAATTATCAAGTCCAACTAGTTAAAGACTACCAGCGTCAAGCCCTAGTCTTGTAGATACCGTGGCAACTTTCATAAATTTGCATTCTAGGGGCCATTGTAGAGAATGTGTTAAGAGAACGTAATAAGCATCTTTTAAAAATTGTTTTCTCAGATCACTAATTTATTTGGTTGGTGGGTATATATTGAGTATCTACATGTGAAAAGGGAGGGGGACATAGAGGTGAGCAAATCCAGTTCAAGCGTGGCAAGCCTGTGTACTTGAAGAGGCCTGGTTGAACAATGAGCAAAGCTGAAGGCTTTTGTGACCTCCTGCTGGTTTTGTTACAGCTGTAAAGGCGCCTCCCACTATGGGCTGACCAAAGACAGGAAGAGGCGTTCTCAAGATGGCTGTCCAGATGGCTGTGCGAGCCTCACAGCAACAGCACTCTCCCCAGAGATTTCTGCAGCTGCCACCATCGCCTTAATGACGGATGAGCCTGGCCTAGACAACCCTGCCTACGTGTCCACAGCAGAGGATGGTCAGCCAGCAAACAGCCCATTGGACTCTGGCCGGAGCAACCGAACTAGGAGTGAGTCAAATGGGTGGTTGTCCGGGAATGGGCTCCTTGCCTTAGGATTGCCCTCTGTGGAATATTCATCGTGGAAAGTTCTAGAAATGTTTTTTTAAGGGGAAATTGTTCTGGCAGTTTTGGCAGCAACCCAATACCCAATTCTCCAAAGTGAAAGGAAACCATGAGTACCTCAGATCATTAAAAATGCGTGTAATCTGACTTGGTGAAAGGGGTTGAAGTTAGACCTCATGATTCATCACTCCCGCAGTGTCAGTACCTTCCCATCCGTGCTGCTCAAGAAAAGTGCTATTATATTCAGTGCAGCCCAGAAAAAAAAAGAAAAGCAGATTTTTAAATAAGCCATACATATTTCATTGTAGAAAATTGAGAAAATACAGATAAGCAAATTCTAGCATCCTAGCACCTAGAAGTAATCACTGCTCGTGTTGTAGTCTATATCTCACCAGAAGTGTACATGAAAGAGGATTTCTATGATCGCACAGCTACTGTCCCTTCTCTTTTCTCCTCAGCACGGCCCTTTGAGCGATCCACTATCAGAAGCAGATCTTTTAAAAAAATAAATCGAGCTTTGAGCGTCCTTCGAAGGACGAAGAGTGGAAGTGCAGTTGCCAACCAAGCTGACCAGGGCAGAGAAAATTCTGAAAACACCACTGCCCCTGAAGGTAAACGAACTCCCCTGCAAGGCTGGATGTGGCTGGGCTTCCAGAATGACTTCAGGGGTGATGAGCACATGACCACCACTCACTTTTGATAACACCTCTCTTCCCAAGGGCATAAAATATTTTTTATCTTGATTAGCCTACTTCTCGCATAAGTAACCAAAGGCAAAACTATTCTCTTTTTACGTAGATTGAGAGAAGCGGTTTTAGAAGCCTTACCTTCAGGTGCTAGCTTAATGCGTTTAAAGAAGGATAATTGTAGTTAAGTGAAAAGCATTTAGAACTGTGCCTGGCACATAGGAAATAGTGTGTGAGTATTCTTATTACGAGTGTGTATGATGTGTGGGTCTGAATGTTTTTCATGCGTTAACTCATCTGATCCTCACAACAACCCCATGAAGTAGCTACTATTATTATCCCTGTTTCGCAGATGAGGAAACTGAGGCACATGGGGGTTACTTAGCTTACCCCAAATTACCTTGCTAAGTGTTGAATCCAGGTAATGTGGCTCTAGAATCCATGCAAAGGAAATTATTGGATCTTTGATCCTGTGTGTTTTCCCCAATCTAAATGGAGCTGAGGAAATATCCTCCCATTCCTTTCTTTTCACTTTATATTAGAACTTTAGAGCAATAATAATAATAGCTAAGAAAAAGAAAAGTAATAAAAATTGAACTTTCCTGTGTGCCAGGTAGTGTTCTAAGCCATTTAGATGTCATAATGCTAAGGGATAGTAATTGTGGTTCTCATTTTGCAGATGAAGAAACTGAGACCCAGAGAGGTCGGGAAACTAGCCCAAAGTCACCCAGCTAGAAAACGGCAGAACTAGGATTTTAACTCCGGTCCTCTAGCCCCAGAGCCCACTCCCTTAACCACTGGGCTAAGTGCCCTCCACTCCTGGGGGTTGGGAGGTAAATCCCACACCACTGTCTTCATCATGCCCTCGGAGAACTTGTGAGCAGTCATAGAAGAGCCTTTCTTGCTTGCTTATCACCTTTTACCCTGCACACACACACACTACATGCGCTTCTACTCTGACCTTGTCACGGTCCTGTAAATACTGTGTCTCTTTCTCTCACTTCCATGCTATTGTCTGACCTTCACTCCCTCACCCCTTCAGCTGCATTCTAATTCCTCCTTCCAGGCTCAGCATAAGCTTTGCCTCCTCCTGGAAGCCCTCCCTGACTCGCTCAGTCCCCTTTCCTTTGTGTGCTCAAAGCACCTATAACTCTATTATAGCAATGTCACCCTTCATTGCCCCTGTACCTATAAGGGCAGGGGTTATTTTTCTGAGCCTTTGTATTCTCAAGGCCAAGCACAATATCTGGCACATAGTAGTGTTGGCTGAGTGTTTGTGCAATGAATAAAAGGGTTGTAACTCCCTTCCTGCCGCTCTCCCCCTGTTATTAAAGGGTCCTTAATTCTACTCCATATGAAGTTTTCTCCTGCCTGAATAAGATTTATCTGCATGTTCATTGCAGGAACGTTTTTAATAAGAGATTTCTATGTGCAAGGGACTGGCCCAAGCTCTGTAATTTTATATAAAGATTATAAAATTCACTTTATTCAAGGGGTTCATTCAAGACTGAAAGAAAGGAAAATACCATGAAGAGTGAGATCTAAGTCAGTGACAAGGCGGCCGTAGGGCGAGGAGCGTTGCTGCCCCGAAGGCAGGGGAATCGTGTTTAAGGAGTGGTTTATGACCTGGACGTCGGGGCATTGGATCTTGACCGTGTGTTGGAAAGTAGTGGGAGATGCAGTTATGGCCCGATGAGAAGGGTCCTGGAGGTCATTGAGGAGTCTTGGTTTGGCACAGTGAGCACACCTGAGAGGCTTCTGTAGAGTTGCTGCAGAATCAGAGCTGTGTTTCAGCAAGATGAAGATGGCGGCCTTGCTCCATGTGCTGGGGGCTTAGAATGGGAGAGATTGGATTTCCTCAGACATTCCAGAAAGCTGTTACCCAGAATGGGGTGAAGTATTAAGACTCAGTGAGGCTGGTAGTGATGTCTTTATAGGATTTGTGAGGCAACAAAGCTTTCAAAAATGGCCTTCGAGTCTCATTGCTTCAGACACATGTGGTTAGTCTGGTGAACGCTCAGGGCATGGTTTACCCATGCTTTTTATATAGGTAAAGAGACTGTCTCCACTACTTATCAGCTGTGTGACCCGGCTGGGTTACTTAACTTCTCTAACCTTTGTCATTTCATCATCAGAAAAACATGGATAATGATAATCTACTTCATAGGGTTGTTGTGAGGATTAAACAAAAAGAAAAATGCATGCAAATTGCTTAGCCCAATGCCTAGCATATAACAAACACTTGGTAAATAATGTTATATCCCTTAGTCCTTAGGTGAGGACACAATATTGAACAACTCTGTGTCTTTCCAGACCAATGCAAGTTTCATAGTTTAAAATTTAACTCTTTAAGGTCTCTAGCGTCTCGTGTGTGTGGCTCTAATTAACATCGCTTATAAGTGTGACTGGGTGTGTCCTTTTGGACCATCAAATCAAACATCCTTGAGTGGTTCAGGTTTGGGAGTATGGTTTTTGTGAATCTATTGGGAGGGAAGGTAGAAAGAGGGGGAGGAGAAAGAGAAAATCAATGACTTGATGATTATTTCCAAATCTTTCTTTGCTCAAAATGATTTTTTTTAAATTTCCATTCCCCTTTCGCCGGACCTGTTCCAACAAAAGCTTGTGGTACAGCCTACTTAATGTAATCAAAGCGATTTAAACATTAATTGAACTCAATGACCCAAGTACTGTTAGCACCAGGAACTGACAGATTACGGTGCCTGCCCACAGCCTTACAGCAAAGCCAATCACTTACTTTAAATCTCAGTGGAGGTTAAGGACCCACATTTACTGTGTCTCAGGCTTTCTCTGGCCACTGAATTACTTTATCATGTTCTACAGTACTTAGAAATAATTTTAATTCTGTTTTGTTTCTAGTGAGTTGAGTACTCATTAATGAACTCATAGTTCATTAGGGAAAATGGACTAAGGTCATGGGTTTTGAAAACAGTCACAAAGAGTGCACTATGCAGAACCAGGCCTGCAGTTTTGATCTTTCCAGATGACGTAATTAAGGGAGAATCTTAGGGCAAAGTCAGCTGTCAGCAGCTCCAGGAGATGGAAGCATCTCTGCTCTCGACATCTAAACTCAAGCCTTACCAACTCGGGAGGAACCACTGCTTCCACCAGACGACGTGTAGCTCAGCCAGCATTTAATGGCATCCCCTCGGCACACTTCTGTTCAAACTGAGGTGGAGAACAGGACCAGTCGGTGCTGCTGGCTTACAAGTCTATAGGGCAAGTGTCCTGTGGGACTGTTGCCTGGCTGGGAACCCTTGGCTCCAGAGAAACTTGTGGGAGGTGACAGGAGGGCAGGTCAGCAGGAGCCCCGGGTTCTGACCTGGCTCTGAAGGCCACCTAACTTTGCGACGTCCCGCCAGTCACGTCACTTCCCCTCTCTGAGCTCAAATATCCTCATTGTAAAATAAAGGTTTGACTGTTGCTATCAAGCTGCACAACCACTAGAGCAGGTCTTCCACGCGTGGGCACAGTGAGGTAGGGGTAGGCAGAGCTGGGAAGGATTTTATGGGGAAAGAAGAGTCCTCAGTTAAAAGAAAGTTTGAAAATGCCAGCCTAGATGATCTGGGTTTCCTTTTAGCTCTGAATTCAGCGATTCAGGCAGATCAGGAACAAACCTGGCCGTGAATCAGGCCGTTTGACTTCCCTTTATTGACAACAGTGTCTGTAGAGAGGGCTGGTGATTCCCTAAGCCTGAGAAGCAGGGGCTTCCAGAAAGAAATCTTTAAAATGATATGAGAGGGTAGAAGAGCATGTTTGTCCTGTTTTGTCTTGATAACTAAGTGATAAAACTGTAATCCATCCTGTAAAGACTGGTCATGCATTCATTCATACCTACTCACTTAATAAACATCAGCTGAAGTCTCCTGTGTGCAGAGATTTGTGCACAGAACTATGGAACAGCCAGAAATTATGTCCTCAAGGATCTTAGAGTCTAATGGAGGGGTATAAGAAATGGGCATGAATAATAGCAATAGAAGGTTGAGTGTCATGAGAAATAGAAAGCTTCATGGGAAATAGGATGCTTAGAGAAGGCAGGGAAAGAGGGATCAGGGTAGAGTTTAATTGGAAGGGATCATTTCATGCACGCCTTGAAGGAAAAATTTGGTTTAGGCATAGAATGAAAAACATTCCAGGCAAAGAAACTTATGCTGGCACAGAGGCAGGAAAATGGAAAACATGTACGAGGAACAGTGAATAGTTTAGTTTGGCTGAAACCAAAGTTTGGCAAGAAGAAGAGTGGTTGGAAATGTCCGTTGGGTTGGTGTCTTAAATAAATGCTGTCTTTGTCCATTTTAGTCTTTCCAAGGTTGTATCACCTGATTCCAGATGGTGAAATTACCAGCATCAAGATCAATCGAGTGGATCCCAATGAAAACCTCTCCATTAGGCTTGTGGGAGGCAGAGAAACCCCACTGGTCCATATCATTATTCAACATATTTATCGTGATGGGGCAGTTGCCAGAGACGGCCGACTACTGCCAGGAGACATCATACTAAAGGTAGAGACTGTGGCTGTGGGGCCATGAAAAGGAGCTTAATAAAAGTCACTTCAGAGCAAATAATTGGATGGATGGATAGATGGATGCACGGATAGATGGATGGCTGAAATACTAAAATAAATGTGGATCACTCACTTTCCATAGTTATGACTTTGATATGACTTGTCATATGAGATTGTAATTTCATTGAGAGGTCTTTGTCCATCCCTCTTTCCTGTTCTTGCACTCTCTCCTCCTTTCTCATTGTCTATAAATCTTTCTCTCTGTCTCTGTGTCATTTGGTTTCCGTCTTTCTCTCCTTCTTCTTCCTTTTCCCCTCTAGCTTCTCCAGGCCTCTTCTCTCCCCTTTCTCTACCTCTATCTTCTCCTTTCTCTTCCTCCTCCTCTCTCTCGTTCTTTCTACCCCTTCCTCCTTCTTTAACAAGAACCTAAAATAATATAAAACTGGAGCATATACCTTCTTAAGTTGTTTTTAGAGCAGATTAATGGAAGATTTTGTATTTTATCTGATCACTCACATTCGCATACCCCTCTAAAGTGAATTTCCTGTAGCTTAATGGCCCTTCAGGAAAAAAAAACTCATCTCTAAGCTATTCTTGCCAACCCGCAGACATTCTGGGGGAGACAGGTGGTAGAACAGGATGCCTTGGGCATTACTGTCCTCTGAGGCTTTGTTGAGGGGAAGGACATTAAGGAGAACTTTTCAAAAGAGAAAGGATAAAGGAAGAATTGTTTATCAGACAGAAGTCAAACATGTGCCAAAAGTGACAAGAAATCCCTCCCTGGTCATATATTTCCTGTCTGATATTCAGATGACAGTTTCATCCCATCCCTTCTAGGTTGCTGAGGGGCCAGCTCCTGATACATCATGAGCTGTTTCTTTGGCAAAGAAATCCTTATTCTTTGGAATAAGAGGAGAAAGAATTTAGAGGAGTTATCGTAGAAGCACTGAAACTCCCACAGGTGGAGTACAAGGCAGAGCCTGTCAACCTTAAGGGACAGTCAGTGGTGCAATCAGCGACTCTGCATGACTTCCTCCCCGTTCTAGTGGAAACTATGCTGCCTGGGAGGGTTGCATAATAAAACATTTTGATTTTTACGGCTTTCAACTGGCACTTGCAGGCAAAAGCGCTGCCAGGACTGCTTAGCAGGCGACCCTGACCTTCTCTTGGCCTGGGTGTGATGGGGGAAACCAGACAGAGGAGCAGGGGACAGAGCAGAGCGAGATCTTTAAGCTCAGCTGTGCTTGGACCAAGGTGGTGAGCCTTGTCTGTGCACGAGGGCACCGCCGTGCCTCCCCGGAGATGCAGCAGAGGACCAGGGATCGTGTGCTGCAGGAAGCCCCTTTAAAATCTCACTCTGAGGCGCCTCTGACAATTGGCTGTGAGTACAAGAAATCTGACTAAGCCGTAGAAATTCAAGAAAGTTATTTCTCTTCCATGGGGCCTCTCTCCTTAAGCACAGAGGGCAGTGCTGCTGTGAAATTGTTTTCTTCCGGAGCAGGCACGACCACTAGAGGCTATAGCCTCCGGGCTGAGCCTGCTGAGCTGGACTGATTAAAACAAGAAAGCCCCACGCAGCATCAGCCCTGCAGATTATTCATGAGGCACAAAGGAGAGGGCCGAGCTCGAGGACATTTAAGTAGCATCGTAAAGTAATCCAGCCTTTCAGTAAAAGAGCCTGGAAACTTCCATTCACATCAGTTTATTGAAACCGTGCAGAGATTTTTTTTTTGTTGAGAACATGACCGCTTTGAGACCTGACGCTCTCTCCCTCATTCACACACATATACACACTTTCACATATTCGCACACTTGCCAACACACAAGCACATTCATGCACACACTCTCACACACACATACCTCCTCCCTCTCTCTCTTTCTCTCTCTCTCTCCCACTACATGGTACTGGGGCCTGAAAGTCCCAGCATGGGTGACCCAGGGAGAAAAATTCATTTGGAGACTTTTAGAAAGAAAACGTCAACTCAGTTGAAATTGAACAGCAATTTAATGTAATCGTTCCAGCCCAATGGAAAACTTCTTTTCTTCTTTTGCCTTTTCCTACTTTTTCTTCCTTTTTCAACCCCCCCCCCCCCCCCCCCCCCCCACAGCTGCAGAATAAGTTTGGCAAGCTACAGAAATTAGGGTTAGGATTGTGTGAATACATTTGGGAGCCTGTGTGACAACAAGGTTGAAGAACGATGGTGTCTGAGAGAGAGACCTGAGAAAGTGGTACAGGGGACACTCAGAGAAAGCAGGGATGGAAGCAATGTCGGGAGATTGGGGATATTTGGATACTTGGACAGAGGATAAGGTGACAGAGCAGAGAGGCCTTTGAGGAAAGGTCTTGGTGATTCTGTGGGCCGGGCCTTTTAGGAAGGGTTGTGGCAGGTGGAGTTAATGTCGAGGTCCCCTCCCCCAGGTCAACGGGATGGACATCAGCAATGTACCTCACAGCTACGCCCTGCGCCTTCTGCGGCAGCCCTGCCAAGTGCTGCGGCTGACAGTGCTGCGGGAGCAGAAGTTCCGAAGCAGGAACAATGGACAGGCACTGGACACCTATGGACCTCGGGATGACAGTTTCCATGTGATTCTCAACAAGAGCAGCCCTGAGGAACAGCTTGGAATAAAACTAGTGCGCAAGGTGGATGAACCTGGGGTGTTCATTTTCAACGTGTTGGATGGTGGTATGGCGGACCGACATGGTCAGCTGGAGGAGAACGATCGTGTGTTAGCCATCAATGGACATGACCTTCGATACGGCAGCCCAGAAAGTGCAGCTCATCTGATTCAGGTGGGTCACAGGTCATTCCAAGGTCCTGGTCAGAAACTCCCAGCATGAGCAGGAATGCTCATCACCCTGACCCACCCACCCTGCTACTACCACATGTGACATACACTGCCTCCCTTTCAAGGAGTCAAGATGGAAGAGCCAGGTAAGAACATTACTCAAGCAAATGATGTGTCTCAGGGTCATGGACATTCTTTGGGTGTTGCCAGCTATCCAGTGTGACTGTAGGTAAACATATTGGGCCGTGTGTTGCAACTGAGATCACTCAAGGTCAGCAGGGTTGTGTCATCCCTGTACCCAGTACAGTCACAGACCCAGGGATCATTCAGATACATTCTGGACACATCCAAGACATCCAGTTGTATTAACTCCCATAAGAAGCTGTGCCACATGCCCTCTAGGGATCCTGTGGCCGGACACCACTGTAGGATTGGCTAAGGCTAAGTCCCATCTCCATGGCTGTGTCCAGGCCCCTTGGAAAGCCACTGGGAACTCAAGCATGAACCTGAGAAGAAGCCCTCCAATAAGAGAGGCATGTAAATTATTGATCACTCAGGCAAATAGAGTTCCCAAGAACCTGACTTTGTTTCAGACTAATTCACTTTCCTGACCCATGTGATATCATCAAGCCCCAGCATGCATCTTGTTGACTTTGGCTGGGTCACCATAAGTTTTTCGAATGTTCACTGGGCTGCCAGCTTTATTCTTAGAGGGACAGGTTTTGTTCTGGGTTCCTGTATTCTAACTCATTCACTTCATTTAGTCAATATTTATTAAATTTCTGCTCCTTGCCTGGCCCTGGTTAGGTACAGAGAACAGTGAGATGATGACTCTTAGGCTCCCAAAGGAGCCCACAATCTCATAGGGGAGATGGACTTTTTCTAAACATGCTGTAATGAAGGCATTAAGTACTGTGCTGGTGCGGATGAAGGAGACAGATTTGCTTGGTTGGGCTTAGGAGTTATTCACAGAGGAGGAAGATCTTGAACTGGGACTTTGAGGGATAAGCATAAGTTTTCTAAGTGGACAAGTCAGAGAGGGTCACTCTAAGGAGATACAGCACAAAAGAACATTTCCCTAAAAGCTGGTTGGGGAAATAGTTAATACCTGGGGCATGGCGTACATTTAAAAGGCAGCAACAGATAAGGCCAGAGTGGTAGGCAAGGGCCAGATCATGTGGAGTTTTATGAGCCACGCTAAGAAGCTCAGACTTTATCCCCTAGGCCATGGGGTGTCATTGGAAGAGTTTAAGAAAAGAAGTGACATTATTTTCTAGAAAGCTCTTTCTAGGGCAATGGAGAGTTGACAGGAGAGGGGCAAGATTAGAGGCCTTGTCTTAAGAAGCATTTGTAATTATCCGGCACGTCACATCAGTTTCCACTTAGCAACTGAAGTGACTTCAAGAATAGACAGTGAGTCAGTGTCAGTAGTTGTCTGAATCTTGCGCCAGTTTCCATGGAGGATGACAGAAAACAGAGCCTTCTCTCAAGGACTTGATTATCTAGTACAAAGAAATCTTCCTACCCTTGGGTTGCAGTCATGGAGTTCTTCCAGGTATTGGCAACTCTTTTCACTATCATGTGTGTCTTATCCCTCTTCTTTGAGGAGGACCAAATGGCAGATGATGATATTGTCATTTTAGACATGGACAGCCTGAGGCAGAGGATGCAAAGGAACTTACCCTGCTCCCTCTATCCACCAGGATAGGAAGCACATATGGTGCCTCAGCCTCTGAACTGTGGTTCTTGGTGATGTCCCAATTCCAAAGTGATTCTCAGCCTGATGGATCTTTCCAATAGAGCATGAGGTCATGCAGGTGGAGAACAAAAGCAGAGTTACAAGAGGCACTTCTCTTCTGGCATTCATGCCATTTATTCCTAAATTCATATATCCAGCCCCAACTTCTCCTTTGAACACCACACTTCTATATCCGACTGCCCACTTGGTTTCTCCACGTGAATGTCTAAAAGGCATCTCAAACTTAATATTCAAAACTGGGCCCTTGACTTCTCTCCACTCTACCTCTTAGCAAACCTGCTCTTCTCCAGTCTCTAGAAATGGCACCACCATTTACTCAGTTACTTGGGCCAAAAAGAATCTTCATTCTCTTCAACACCTTTCTCCCCACAATCCATGTCTCACCACCTCCATGGTTTCCGTCAGCCAGGCCACTATCAACTTTGGTCTGGGCCACAGCACGAACCTCATAACTGGTCTCCTTGCTTCCACACTCAATCTTCTGCCTCTGCTCTCCACATGGCAGTTGGAATGACCACTTTACAAAGTTAATCCCAGCATGTCACGCTCTTGCTCTCAGGCCTCTGACGCTTCCCGAGACACTTAGATTAAAAATTCCAAATGCTATCAATGGCCTGCAGAGCCAGACATAATCTGCCCTTTAATTCTCTCTCCAACTTCATTTCTTAAGCAAAAGGGAGAATTTTTTGGATGCTCTCCCTTGCTTAACCAGGCTCAGTCACACCGTCTTCTTCCTACTCCTCAAACATTTCAAGGATTTTTTCGCCTCAGGGCTAATGTTCTTGCTATACCTCTTGCTGCCCCTCTGACTGGAAGGATCTTCCAAATATCTGCATAACTCACTCCCACACTTCATTCAGGTCTCTCCTCAAATGTCGTCTCCTCAGAGGCCTTCACTGACAGTCCCACTTACAATAGCCCATCTCACCCCTAACTCTATATCCTCTTTTTCTACCAACTCATTATTTTACTATTACATGCCAATCTAGTCTAGTCTAGTACAGTAGAGCATTGTATCCCAAGTACTTAGAGAAATGCCTGGCAGTAACAGGCACTCAATAAATATTTTTTGAATGAATACATTGAGTCAAATTATAAAATATACATAAAAATACACATACATATAAAATATACATAAAAATGTAAATACACATAAAATATAATTTACACATTAGTTCCATCGCATAGGGATTTTTTTGTCAAATCACTTACTAACGAACAAGCAGCAAATTTACTTTATGTTATTTGTCCCCAAGATAGAGTCTCTACTTTTTATCCCCTCAAATTTGTTCAGTTATTATTGGTTGAGCACATTCTATGTACCAAGAGATGTGTGGTACAATGGTGACCAAGACTGACACGGTTCCTGGCCTTGTAGAGCTTGGAATATATTCTTATTTCTGATCTCAAATACAATCAAGTCAGCATTAATTAGGTGGTTCTAGCCTGTATGTGCCAATGGGTGAGAACAGAAAATAGACAATGTTTACTAAAACATTAACCCATGGAAAAGTACGAGTCTTGGTTTTTTCTTCATGAAGAAATTGCACTCTAAACATGATTTTTTTTCCTCTTTAAAAACCAGACTTTTAGGTGATCATCAATGTTTTTCTGTGTTACACTTGTTAACTCCCTCTGCAGGTCAATCAGCGTAACTCACATTCTAGAGAGAATCTGCCAGCTCTACTTTGCATCAGGCAAAAGAGAAACTCCCTTACTCATGTCATTTGGAAAAATTTTGATTGCATATGGCATTCTGCTTTTGTAGATTAATAACAGAAGAGGAAAAAAGTTTTTTTCCTGAGAAAGTTAATTTATGAAATAAAATCTTGCCTAACAGTGGGATTTCCTAAAAGATTCTTCTGCTTACTAAACAAACCAAATGTGCTTTATGAGCAGGGGAAGGAGGGGAAAAAAAAACCTTGGGCAAAGCTAGTTGGAAAAGAAATGGGAAAAATAGAATGCTGGGAAAACTTGGTTAAGCAATCTCAAAAGTGGATTTTATTTATGTGATACTGTAACACACACCAGGCTGGGGGGATTAAACTAAACGCCCTTCAAAGGTTGAGACTCAAATTTCCAACCAATCCTTGGCTGCATTGGCCTTGTGCGTCTACTCCGTGAATCATATTTGCCTTACAAAGAAATTCCCAGACAACATGTCCTTTTGGTCATGTTTTCTCCCACAGTACCACACATTCTGCCTTTTTCTACATTATTTCAGGGAAAAGTTATGACAGAGAAACCACAACTGTTTTAAATTTGACCAACTTTACATATGTGGAGCCCTAACCTCAGCTTACTCAGCAGCAGCCCTGCTTGCCAGGCCCCAGAGTTAGATTAAGAGTCGGGCTGCTCTAAGAGGAGAAACCCTGAGGAGACAGAAACTTCAAATACGGGGCAGTTCACTTATTTAGCAACTTAATACAACTTTATTTTTCTCCATTGTCAATTTAAGTCTTTTGAGCACCATGAGTAGAATAACTGTATGAAAGAGACAGCTGTGTGGAACTGTCTGGTGTCACCCATGAAATAATGGAACAAAGAAATATGGACCAAAGATTTAAGACTGTAGGGGGAAAAAAGACATCTCAGCGTCTCTTGGAGGTTCAGCATATATCTACCCAATATTCAATCTGAGAATGATTTATGCTGGGAGTTACATCTATTTTGAGACGCTCTCATCTATCTGCAATTCTGGATAAATGAATTCATATTTATTTAGGAGTTCAAATATAACCAGTTAATAAACAAAGAAAGTGGCAATGGATTTCAAATTTGAGGATCCCTCTTGTGCCTTTTTTTCCTAGGCAACTTCCTAGACTTCATGCAGAAGTTGAATAAATTCAGAGCTATTTATAGAGGTTGTGATAAGATGGATTTTCATTAAAACAGACGTGTGATTTTTTTTCTCACATGCATTAATATTTAAATGGGAAGTTATTTCATCAAAGAACAACTGACAACCAGGCTCTTCAAACTTTTAAAAAGAATGTGATAGACCTTTAGATAGAGCCAGAAAGCAAATAACGGACTGCTCACATTACCTACGTTTGTCCTAAATATATGATTCCAGCTCATGAGTTCTGCATAGCTGGAAAAAAGGCAGAACTTTTGTCCCTGGGAGCAGTAGGAATTCCTAATGAAATAAGACATGATACATCCATGTGTTTTTTTATAGATTATCACAGCTAATAGAGAATAAAATGCCCATTTGAACAACTTTTTTTAACATGGTATTATGG